CCCGCGCCCTCCTGAGTCCCCCAGGTCCCCCGACTCCTTTCGGCTCCGCGGTGGCCCCGCGTCGGCGCAGGGGTCCCACGGCCTCGCTGGTCTGCGGGGCGCGGCAGCGCGGGGTGTGCGTGGCCCCCCGCCGTGGCGAGTAGGATTTACTCTTTGACCACGTACGAGCCCGCATCGCTCGGGAAGAGCCGGGGCCGGCTTGGGGCCCCGCCCCCGCGCCTGGAGTGGCACCTGGGGGCTTCCCGCCGGGCTGTGGGTCTCGCGGGCCGTGGGTTCCAGCGGTCGGGTGCCCCTTGGCCTCGCCAGGGCCCTTGAGTCGAGTAGACAGTAAATATTCGTTGGGTCAGCCTAGTATTTTTCCTTCGCCAGATGGATTTATAGCCAGGGCCTCCTGTTTAAATCAGCGTCTTTTGGGAATCCCTTTAATTTCCTGTAATTCTTCCATGCTCTCCTAGAGAAGGTTTTAAATTCGGAGCTCTCAAGAAGCAGAGCCTGTACTGACAGCTCCGGGTAGAGTTTTGGGCTGTTGAGTATGTGAATGATTCAGCTGTTTAGGACGAGAGAGGCAGAAATTGCGTGTGCGTGATTTGTTTCGTTTTTTCCTTTTAAAAGTGAACGATCCTCCACTGTCACCCAGACCAGATTTTCATTCTTGAGAAGGACCTACTATAACATATTTAGCCACTGCATTACTGGACAATTTTATTTCTGTAGAAATTCAATTTGGACTCTTACTTCAGAAAACACACGCAATGGGCTTGTTTTGCCAACTTCATTCTTTTGGCTGTAAATTATCATACTTTAGTGTTATTAATACATCTCCAGGAAATGCTTAAGGGCAAGTTTCATGCAGTGCACTGTAGTGTGGACCGCAAAGATGCATAAAAGTAAGGATCCCTGTTCTCAAGAACGCTCAGAGGGCATTTAACCCAGCTGGTTTCTAAATTTCTCATGTGATAATGTAGCTTGAAGATAGAATAATGAATTATAAATTTTGTTTCTCCTTTAAAAGTCAGGACAATACATAAGGAACGCTACCTAAAACTTGATGCTAACACCAAACAATAACTTCTTTCTCTGATTCACAAAACATTTAAAATTAATTCATATAAAATTTAATACCATAGCACCTCGTGCCAGGAGGTGATCTTAATGTCACAGTGAGTTTCAAGTCAGGAAGTGCTTTCCTGGGAGAGTGTTTCAACTGGTAGAGGAAAAAGCATGACAACACTTGATGCTTGCCTTAGGTGAATACTCCTTTTGATGAAGGGGTGTTTTGTTGTCATTTTTAGGAAACTAGGCCAGATCTTGAGCCTATAATCCTGAAAGGATTTTGAAGATCCTTTTTTAAAGAAACATCTCTCTCTCTCCATTGCCTGTTGCTAACCTATGTCATTGATTGGTTATACAGGAAAACTTTCATCTTCTCCATTCACTCTTGGTTTGCACAGGAGTCATGGCATGTTAGGTCTAACCTGGATACAGCAGGTCATTTTATTACCCAAGCTCTGGGACCTGGAGCAAGTTACTTAGCTTCTCTGTGCTTCAATTTCCTATGCAGTAAAACAAGGATTATAATAGTACAAGTTCATCTCATAATTTGTGAGGGTTCATTGAGTTAACATTTGTAAAACATTGAGAGCCATGGATGTTGGATATGATTATTATGAGATATTAATTAGCATATTCATAAAAATTGTCATCTCCAATTATTTATCAAGGAAGCAGATGACCAGACAGAGTAAGTGACTTCCAAGATTTCAAAGCCAAAGGTTTTTTGGACTGATCCTTGGTCTTTTAATGAAATAAAATATCTGAAAGAGCTTTTAACTAAAGTAACATGTAGGTGTTATTTATACTATGAGGCCTGTGTTATTTCCAGTAATATTTGGCTCCAGGACAGTTTGGAGGAAGAAAAGTACTCAGTTATGTGAGTTTTAATAATATTACATAATTATTTGAAGTCCAAAACCAGACCTAGTTCTCTGTGAGTTACAGTTGGATACAGCGGGTCAGTTTATTAATGATTTTGTATCAATTTTAGATGTTTAAAATCCTACCTTATAGGTAGCATCACTTGGACCTATCATCACCTTTCGGGACTGGAATACATGTTACTCTACCTTCCCTCCCCCTCCTTTTTTTTCCTAATGATCTACATGTTATCATGTATTTAAAACACAGCGCAGTCCATTTTCATGTCTGACTCCTGGGTTAACATAACACAAAATTAACAAAACATATATCAACATGAGTATCGTCAGAGCTCACATATTTAGGAACTGATCAGCTAGTGCTTGAAAGGGGACAGGTGATGCCATTTCGAGGGTGTGGCAGCCTTTGAAAGGTGCTTGGCATATTGCATATATTTCATATCACAGCCATTCTCAATATCCCAACTTCAGATTAAAGCCTATCATGAGCTCACCACTTCCTTCAAGCAGTGTTTATCCACTACCCACTGGTTTTATGGCAATACTGTATTCTCAGTACTATTCTACATCTCTTGCTTTTTGTTGCTTTCGGTAAAATAGATGCAAATATGCACGTATATTCACAAGAAAGGGTCAGTCAAATATTTGTTCTGCAGGTAAGGCACAAATCCCATGTCTTGTCAGGCAAGGTGTCTGTGATCCCACCCTGCAGCCCTCCCTTCCCTAAAGGAGCTGACAAGGGTAGCAAGCATTGCAAGAAACCACTGTTGCTGCTGTTCTGTTTTTCTGCTGGACTGCCAGTTAATGAAATAGTGATAGATTTTTGTAGTTGTAGAATTAAATTAAACCTTACTTTTTCTGAAGGGTGTAGTATACTATAGTAAAATGACTACGAAAAGAGTTGTATTGTCATTTATTTATCGCCAGGATGAGCTATCAAATTTTGTAGTTAATTTCAAATTCTAATGTAGAATCTTAATGAACTGCTAATATGATCTTAAACTGGCCAGAGTGTGACAGATAATTTAGAATTGTGAAGGCCTGTTACTGTCCTTTCCGTCTCGTTGCTAGGAGACCACAGATGGGGATAACCTGCACTATGTACATCGAAGAAAGTGGTGTTTAAGAATGATAGCGGAGAGATGTTCTTGGTAGTAGTTAGTGCTGTCTTCCTTTGCTTTTCAGTGTTCTTCAATAGTAGAGTTATAAATCCGGCAGTGTCAATGCAAAATTAATGAAAGACCCTGTTGCGTTATCTTGAAATAATCATGAATGTATAATTTAGTAGCTATTTGTGAAAATTGAGAATTTCTTAAGCATTGTAGGCTGTTAATGTCAGTATTTTACACTCACCTTTATTTCAACAAAAATTGTTTTAAGTTTTGCCAAAATATGGTTGGGCCATGTGGTAGATTTTGTAAAGCTTTTAGCTCTTCTCCAGTTACAGTTGATATTCAGATGCTTTCAAATGATTTCATAGTTCAGATTGAACTTTAAAAAATCCTTAAGCTCAGATTTACTTATAGAGACAGATGGTATAGTGTAAGAAATCTATGTGTATATTTCTTATAGTAATGTAAGAAATAGGGTGATCTATATATTGGATAATTATTTTTATGTATAGTTGGCCCTCCATAGCTGCGGGTTCAGCATCTGCAGATTCAACCAACTGGGGATCAAAAATATTCTAAATAAAAGACAATAAAAAATAATACAAATATTAAAAATACAGTATAACAACTATTTATATAGCATTTACATTGTATCAGATATTGTAAATAATCTAGAAATGATGTAAAATATACAGGAAAATCTACATAGGTTATATGCAAATACTACACCCTTTTATATAAGGGACTTGAGCATCGGTGGATTTTGGTATCCATTGGAGGCTGGAGAGGGCGGTGTTCCTAAAACCAATCTCCTGAGGATACCAAGGGACACCTGCCATATATGTTATCTAAGAAAAGTAATAAGAAGAATAAGAAAAGAAATGTAGGAGAAGACCAAATATAGGCTCTAGTTTTGTCATTTACTAGTTTGGTGATCATAGTCAAATAAATCATACTTTGTTTTTTAAGCTTTCAAATGGGCAGAGGGACAGAATCTGCTTTTCAGGGTTGTTAGAGTTGAATGAGGTGTTGGAATGCTTATTCAGCTGCACAGAGCTATATTACTGTTGTTATTAGTTTTCTAATTTTAAGTCAAGTTGCAGTTTGGGTATCAAATGGTAAACCATTACCAGATTGGCTTTTTTCTGTTTGTATTTTTTCAGTATTCACTATTTATTCTCCCATTCTTGTGAGACCTGTGAGGTGCAGAGTTGCTTAGAAGAGGTTGGAAGGACCCAGTGGTCGTGTGTGGCTCCCTGGGAGTCTGTCCTATTTTGTTGCTGTG